TAAAGGTCTGACACAGAAAAGCCTTGAAGTTAAGATAAACGTTTACAGCACAATTGTCACAGAACAGTTGTCAGTCAAGGGTTGAATCCAATCATTTGTTTGTACACTGATTCATTCACAAAAAGTTCACTCAGGTAAGCCAGGTACGTCTGGTACTTTCCTCAGTTTTCAACTTCTTCATCCAATTTTCACTTACATAAAAGACTTGTTTTGTTCTGTTTTTACTGGGAGTGGTCTGAGTTTGATTTTTTATAGAGAAAAGATGATGAATCCTATGATACCCAAATTCTCTCCTAGGTTAACCTGTAGTTGTAAAATATTTATTGATGTTGCCCCAGGTTTAGCTAAGCATGGTTTGCAGATTGTTGCTATAGTTATCTGAAAATTGTGTGTGTTAATTTACAAATTTTGTCAGTGATGACAGGTGGTTTGTGCTCAAAGACACTGGTAGTTAAATGTCCAGAAGGGAGGTGAGAACAGGAAAGAACTAATGAACATTGAAAAGGTGGTGAACTGAATGAACTGGTGGTGTCAACTAAGTACCTCAGCACTCATTTAAATGCTTATGAGAGTCATGAGTACCCGAACATTTATTTGTTTAATCAAAGGTTAAAAGTTTTGAGAAGTGGGAAAAAGGCAGATCTGACATGAGAATTCTGAGAACCTTAAGACAATTGCTACTACCTTAGTCGAGAGAACTATTAGAATGAAATTAAAGTCCACAATGAGGAAGGCAGAGAGCAGACGGGCATTGAAAGACACCTAAACAACAAGGTACCAAGTGTGAAAAATCAACAATCTATAAACAATTCAAATAAAACAACCTAGAGAATGTGAGTTAGAACTGTGAGAATTGTAATTCACAGCATTGAGAGCAAAAGCCAAATGTGCCAAATAAACGAACATAAATGTTACTATAATGGAAAAGTTTCACTTGACAGTCTAAGACACCAATCTGAGAACTGCTTGTAAGAGTTTCGTACGAAGCCAAAAACAAGTAAAAAAAAATAACAAAAAGTAAAAACACAAACGAAAATTGGACAGCATATAGAAGAATACAGCTCAGCAATGACATTCATTTTAGTGGGGCTAGTTTGACTCACCAATGTAGCAGATTATTTAAATTGGCAACATTTTCATACTGAATAAACTCATTCCATTTGATACAAATGTGGACTAATAATTCAAAGGAAGACTTTTCTTGTATGTTTGGTGTTTTTGTCTGGTTGTTTGCTTGTTTCTTCTGGAGACAAGGTTTCGCTCTGTCTCCCAGTCTGCAGTACAGTGGTGTGATTATGGCTCACTGCAGCCTCAACCTCCTGGGCTCAAGCGATCCTCCCACCTCAGCCCCCCAAGTTGCTTGGACTACAGAAGCAAGCCACCACACTTGGCTATTTTTTTCTTTTTAAATAGGGATGAGATCTCTCTATGCTGCCCAGGCTGGTCTCAAACTCCTGGCCTCAAGCAATCCTCCTGGTTGTGCTGATCTTCCCAAAGTGCTGGGATTACAGGTGTGAGCCACTGCAACTGGGCATGTTTTTTACTGTGTTTTATATTGATCATTAGCCAATCACAAGGACAGATTTTTGATAAATTGTGCTTATTTTGAAACATGCTTTAGTCACAAATGCTCTTATACCTAGTAAATATTTTATATTTAATTTTAAAATAGACAGTGAATATAGATGATTCCTTAAGGATCGAGGAAAAGGATTTTTTTGGCTTGTTTGTGTTTGATTTTGGTTTTTAAGATAGTAGATAATGGTGCTATGAAATATTCAATAAGGAGGGTAAACTAATTATTCAGGAGACAGAAAGGACACAGGCCAGAGTAAAACCCTTAAGTCTGAGGGGGTAGAATCCACTGCACTAGCAGAGAGGTCATCCTTCAGTAGAAGCGGGAACCATTGCTTCTCGTATTAAGAGGAAGCCACCTTACACAGGTAGAGATGCAGCTGGTTGGTAGATTTGGTGTTGGGAGGGTGCACATCTTATTGTTTTTAGTTTTTCTATGAAATGATGGGAAAGGGCATAGGCTGAGAGAAGAAAAGGGGGTGTTTGACATGTGAGGAAAAGGATGTGAGAGAATCTCCTCAGAAACATTACTGGGGGCCCCAGTAGCAAGTGGTCATGAATTTTATAAGAGATTAATTCTGCTGCACAGGTGAAGATGTGAAGTAGATGAAAAATTGAACCTCACCCGAGTAAGTTGCTGCAGGGGAGTAAATGGAAAGAAAGAGAGAAAAAGGAATTGAGATCATTTGCAAGGAGTGATTATAATGAAGGACCCATAGAAATTAAAGCATCTTTGGGCCGGATGAAGAGTGAAATGGTAGTAAGGTCCATAGTTTGGAGGTCTCGGCGCCATCAGAAGGTTGTCAGAAATGGTACCAGTGGGAGTAGGCTTAGGCATCAGAGAATAGTAAGCTTGAAATTCTGATTTTGAGGGGACGAAGTTGCTGGTAATGACAAGTTCTAGGTTATGACCCTGGCATGAGTGGCTGAATGGGATTGAGGAAAGATTGTTGGATATGAAAAAGTGAAAGAACTGAGAGGCCCAAATGTTGCATGGGTTATTTGCATGAATATTGAAATCACCTAAAAAAGATGTCAGAATTAGGGAGGGGAGAGAGAGAGTGAGAGAGTGAGAATACATAGACACAGTGGGCTAGGTTCCAAATTTTTCAAAGAATAAGAGTTAACAGGTAGGACTGTACCATGAGGAAAGGTAGATAGTGACAGAGTCTGATGCCATGTGCATTTAAAATCAACATTTTAATAAGTATGTAAATGAACATGTTAGTAACCATTGATATCTGTCAGAATAGCAGTTATATCAAATACATATGGTTTATATGTTAATAAAATGAAATAAAACACACCAGAAAACATTTATATACTTAGCAATGACACTAAAGAGCAAATGTTTATCATGATCATCAATATTACTTCTACTCTACATCACAAATAAGAAATTTCCAGGTTTTCAGAAAGTGCCTGGTAATTCTGGCACTGCGGGAGGGAACTGTGGAGGATTAAACGAGAATGCTAATGAAGTGTTTGGAGCAGGATCTGACATATAGTCAGTACTAAATAAAAGTCATGAGGCAGTCAAACTCAAGACGACTTCCTGTGTAAGAAAAGGCTTCCATGCCTTCTTTGCTACTCCTCTTTAAACATTGTCTTAGATCAAAAAACAATTTTTTGTATCAGAAATGCCTTGACCTATACTGGTTTTCCCTAATTTGTAGTCCAGATGGTTTTTTAAAAAATATTTCTGAGAAGAGTACTGTATTAAGAAATATAAAATCTGCTCCTGAATGTTGTAAGTAGTTGGGGGCACAACAGGCTAGAAATGCTTTTATAATCATGGGTAACATATTAAAATACCAGTCTCAGAATCAGTAAAGTTGGATATATTTGACTAAACATGGCAAAAACAAAATAAACATACATCTTAAACAAGGTTAGAAACCAAAAGACGTACCAGAAAAATTATTTGCAACATGTAGGATGGAAAAAGAATATCTCTAATATACGGAAAGTTCTCATAAAATAATAAGAAAAATGTTAAACCATCATTTTTTAAAAGAGCAAAAAACATGGATATGAATAACAGAAAAAGCCACTGAATATATGAGAAGATATTTGTCAGAAGGAGTCAAAAGAACATTTATGAAATCAATAATTCTCAGCATTAAAGAGGATGCAGAGAAAATGCTCTCTGAATCATTATTAATAGGAATGAACATTAAAATCATATTGACTTTCTGTTTGGCAGTTGTCCATTTTATTCAAAATCTTAAATATGCATACCCTTTGACCTAGCAATTCAATTTCTAGGAATTTATTCTAAGGATATAAGGAAACAAACACTCAAAACATCTTAGCCACTGTAATAGTAGACAGATATTGAAAAATATTAGTACTCATGAAAAGATACATGTAACAGATTTCTGGATGAAACAAGTATGTTACAAGATATTATTTGTAGTTTTGATCACATTTATGTAAAAATATATGTGCTTGTGTATGTATGTGTATATGCATATGTATATGTAAGTGTTCAAATAGATATCTGAAGGGATATATCTGATCGTGTTAATGGTAATTTTCTTTGACCGTGGAATTTCTGATCATTTTCACTTTCTAGTTTCTGCTTTTCTATATTGTTTGAATTGTGTATTTACAACCCTAATGATAAGTTATCACTACTTAGAGTCTTTGCCCTTGTAGTCCACTTTGCCTGGACCATTCTGTTACCTACTTCAGTTCTCTGCTCAATGTCCTCCACTGGAAAAGTCTTCATTTGACACTCTATTTGAAATAGAACGACCACCCCTTTGTCCCCATATTTATTTTTTTCTTTTCCTTTTTTTTTTTTTTTGAGACTGAGTCTCTCTCTGTTGCCCAGGCTGGAGTGCAATGGTGTGATCTCAGCTCATTGCAACCTCTGTCTCCCGGGTTCAAGCAATTCTCCTGCCTCAGCCTGCCAAGTAGCTGGGACTACAGGCGTGTGCCACCATGCTTGGCTAATTTTTGTAATTTTGTAGAGATGGGGTTTCACCATGTTGGCCAGGCTGGTCTTGAACTCCTGACCTCAGGTGATCCACCTGCCTCGACCTACCAAAGTGCTGGGATTCCTTCCAGGCATGAGCCACCGTGACTGGCCTTGTCCCCATATTTCATTCCTTTTCCCTGCTTTAGTTTTCTCAGCTATACTTCACACCATAAAACATATCTTAACTGTGTTTGCTTATTTATTTATTGTGTATTGTCTGACTCCTCCTTTTCTGCACTAGAAAGTGAACTCCACAAGGGCAGGACTTCGTTTTGTACTAAACTGTAACCCCAGAGCTGAGAACAGTGCTGTTTTGGGGAGAAAGACACATCATCCCGCTGATACACCTGAGTGCTTCAATTTCATGGTGCTAGTGATCCTATTTAGGATGTAGGAGAGAAAAAATTGAAAAAAATAAAAATCTCAAATATGCATTTACCTTTTTATTTCTCAGGGGCTGAATCACTTCCCTAACACACAGCTCTAGATCATTGAGATAATCCTTTTCCGTCTGTATCAGCTCCTTGATGATCTTTTCCCGCTTTGCCATCATCCTCTTCATTTGATGCTCTTCCTCTGGGGTTAAGGTCTCAGCTACAGAACACTCACCCTGTGGAGTCATCTTTTCTGTTAAATGAAAACATATACAGGTGAGGCATTCTCCTGAGGTTTCTTTTTCCTTCATTACAAACAAACAACGCCTTCGCAGGACTTTGTTAACAAGGAGAAAGGCTGAAGGTATCTTCATGATGTGTTCTTAGGAAGTGATATATGGACATTCCCTTACAAAACTATGAGCAAGAGGAAAAATAGGAGTGAACTTCTTCTAACAAGTGAGTTAAATGATACTCAATTATCGTGGCTTCTTTAAAATATCCCATTGCTTGTAGCTTAGCCTATAAAGCCAGTATTCAGCCTGGAGGTCAAATACATTAAAAAAACAGTTCAGAACTTCCATTCACATTTGCTTTTAAATCAAGGGAAGAATTTTAATTAGTAAATGAAGTGCCTCTAATTTTGTTTGTCACCGTTATTAAAAATAATTACCTCTCATTCTCAGTGGGTAATATCCAAATCTCAATGAAATGGAAAACAATTGCATGATTGGAGTTTTTCTTTTCAATTCACTATCAGACTCCATGAGGAGTGAAGCAGTGGTGGATTAAATAAATTTCAACTGAAATTTTTCATGGTTCATCTTTTATACTAAGCATAACTTGTTATTTCAAAATTCTTGAACTGTCGAACAGAAAGTTTTAATTTAAAAAGTCTCAGTACTGGGGAGATAATGAGATAAATGGTAAGCCTCACACATAGCAAAAGTTTATATGAAGTATTCAAGTAAGAGAGCTAAATATCTTCAAGGACGAACTCCCCACAGCAATGTAAAATTTTGGAAGCCACAAACCAGATCACAGACCATGAAATCAAAGGGGCGATAAACATCAGGGCAGTGTGTGAGTCTGTGTATGTAAGAGTGTGTGTAAATAGATTTGCTTCAAGCTTGAAGCTTAATTTTCATCTTAGTCTCTGCAGTTGCAGAAGTAATTATATTTCATTTAAAGCTAATATGATTCTAGTAACTGGTATATGAGACATCTTCAATGTTGACACCACTCCCTGAGAACATGGAACTTTACAAAAGGGCCTATAAAGAGTCTGTACAGTAAAAAATAAATGTACAGGTCACAATATATGCAAGTGGAAATAGTGTTTTCTTGGCTGACTCCAGGAACAAAGCTAAGACAACTAGAGAAACAATATAGTAGAGGAGTTAATGGTGTGATGTCAAGAGACTGCCCCAGGAATGTGAACAGACACTTTAAAAAGTAATGAGCTCTCTCTCTGGCCCACTGACTTCAGCATTTCAGGCAGAGGCTCAATATTCAAACATCTGTGGAGAGCAATTCCAACATCAGTTTGGAAGCTATACTAGGTTGATCTTTGGACAATCCAGACCTGCAGGTGAGTATGTTTCGGAATCATTTGCCTCCTACCAATCCTTCCTTCATTAGGAAAGCAGGAAGTTTTGACAAATAGCATCCAAAAGCACATGGTTTTATGAGATTTGGGCTATTTAGTGCTAAAGAAATAATCCACATGAGGCCGGGTGCAGTGGCTCATGCCTGTAATCCCAGCACTTTGGGAGGCTGAGGCGGGCATATCACGAGGTCAGGAGATCAAGACCACCCTGGCTAACATGGTGAAACCCCATCTCTACTAAAAATACAAAAAATTAGCCAGGCGAGGTGGCGGGCGCCTGTAGTCCCAGCTACTTGGGAGGCTGAGGCTGGAGAATGGCGTGAACCCAGGAGGCGGAGCTTGCAGTGAGCCGAGATCGTGCCACTGCACTCCAACCTGGGCGACAGAGCCAGACTCCGTCTCAAAAAAAAAAAGAAAAGAAAAAAAAAAGAGAAAAGAAATAATCCATATGAGCTATATAAGAACAGATAATCTATTCAAGGAGAGAGAATGAATGCATGAGATGTCCTGGAGCCCTCAAATCTTGATCTACATTATGAGAATTTGGGGGTGCTTGCTAATTTGTGTTTTTGGTTTTTGTTTTTTTCAGAAACAGGTTCTCACTCTGTCACCCAGGCTGGAATGCAGTGGTGCAATTGCAACTCACTGCATCCTCAAACTCCTGGGCTCAAGCAATCTTCCCGCCTGAGCTTCCCGAAGCACCGGGATTACAAGTGTGAGCCACTGCACCAGCCTAATTTGTAATATTTTTATTGGAAAGTAGAAGCAGCCTGCCTCTCAGTGCCCCAAATTTGAAAAAGCAAGTTACAATCAGGTGTCATTACAATGAATTATTTTGGATATGAAAGAGGAAGACAAGACACCTTATGAGGGGAGCTACAGTGAAGAGGCTGCATCTACCACCATTGTGGCCCTTTCTTTTTAAAAATGTGTATATTCAAGATGTACAACATAATATCTTGATGTATGTATACATAGTGAAATGATTGGGTAGGGGGTGGGAGACTGAGGGCAGAAAGGTGTGAGGGAGGTCCTTTACTACTGGGGTATGTGAAATAGAGCACAGGAGGAAATCTCACGAGTAAGAGAGATGATAAACCAGTATGGACACTGCCCAATTATCACTTAAAGTTTCCTTGAAAATAAAAATGATGCTGATGAAAAACTGCTCTGACTGACATTTGCTTTTCCAGGTTCTAAACTTTTTATGCCTTATAAGATTAATCTATCAATTATTTGGGATCCTAGCAAGGTGAAGGAAGTTTTTCCTGATTGTCAGCAAAGGAATATCCCTAAAACGTGCATTTGGGTTACTTTCAGTTCTCAATTCCAGGACTCAATCACTATGTTAACTTAACCTGCTTCACAGACATTTCCGTTGTTGCACTTTAAAATGTACCACGTCAGATTGTGTCCATTAAAAACTGCTTAGATTTTCCAATACTGCTCAACAACTTGTTGAGAACAAATTTGTGGGGGCAAGGTGGTTGAAGTGTCAGTGAAAATACTCAACTTCTCCCTCAGGTATAAAAATCTCTCAGGGAATTTAGAGTTGAGCAACCTTATGAGATATCTTTGCTTGCTCTTTTGACTCAAGTTTATGGTAGGAACAAAGTCTTCACTTGCATCATTTTATGGTCAGGTTTCTAAACACTTCCTATGTTTGCACTTCTTAAACCCACAAACTTTCTGCGATGCATTGTGGACACATTTTGTTTTTAGAAGATCTTTCTCTGCATTTAAACATTTTATCTTTTAAAAGTTAGTTATACCTAACTTTTATATATAAAAGTATTTGTAACTCAACAATATTACCAACATATATAACCCAAATCAGCCGTCAGCTATAGCCCGTCTTTTATTTCTGGATGAAGCAACAGAGGGGGCCTGGCACGGTGGCTCATGCCTTTAATGCCAGCACTTTGGGAGGCCAAGGTGGGCGGATCACCTGAGGTCGGGAGTTTCAGACCGGCCTGACCAACATGGAGAAATGCTGTCTCTACAAAAAATATAAAACTAGCCGGGTGTGGTGGTGCATGACTGTAATCCCAGCTACTTGGGAGGCTGAGGCAGGGGAATCATTTGAACCCACGCGGCTGAGATTACAGTGAGCCGAGATTGCACCATTGCACTTCAGCCTGGGTGACAGAGTGAGACTCCGTCTCAAAAAAAAAAAAAAAAAAAAGAAAGAAAGAAAGAAAAAGAAAAAAGAAAAAGCAGCAGAGAGGCTATTTAGGAAAGAAGGAAAAGTAGTTTTAAGAATAAATGTTTTCCAATAGTTTGCATATAATAAAACACAATGTCAAAGCCAAAGTGAAACTAAGGTTAAAAGGATGTTCAGATTGCTATAACAGAAATATGCAGCTATATATTAAAGCAGTACCATGTAATTGACTTCACTCTGTATTTCTTTCACAGTCAAGCTTTATTTTTCCAGTGGTGGTGTGAATTTTTACTATTCTAGCCACAAAATTCATTAATAATATATGTGGAGATTCCTGGCCAAGGAAGTTTATATAAAAAGAGGTTGTTGCAGTTTGAGAAAAGGATAATCTGACTTGAGATCAGCTCTGCCACTCAGCTGTGAGAACACAGTAGAGTAATAACTATTAGTTATCCTCACAGAGCCTTGGTTTCCTTACCTGTAAACTATGCATGAAAACCAACACATTGTGATCATGAAGATTGAATTAAATGAGCAGCTGCATGTGGAAGTTCCTTGAGATCTTTAAAACAATACAAATGTTAACTATTTCTGTGGGAATGGGAACAATAGGGTTACTTTCTCTATAGTCTCAAACTTTCCCACCGTCTGGAGCAAACAATTATCCTATTATTTTGTGGTTATCAACTTGTCAAGAAAAAAAATGCATGACTCTAAAGTGGGTGGACAGCTAGTTCAGTTGGAAGAGGAAGAGCAAAAAAAATAGGGATGCTGCTTTCAGAGGAAAGTCAGAACAAAGCTGGGGTTTAGAATTCTGAGCAGTTTATCTGGCCTGGGTATATGCATTGGGAGAACCTTGATCTCTTAGAGAAGTGCAACAGCACCCAAAGGCAAAGGGGTGTTGGGGGAGGACTGAAGACAATCTTCATTGATAGCCAGGTTTTGCTTAGAATTTGTCCTATCCTCTTTATCCTTTCATCTTGCTTTTGCTACTACTACTGCCATTTGGGGGTGAATTTAAGGAGAGGTAATTTCTTTCTTTCTTTGTAAATTATAAAATAATATACACTTGTGATATCTATCTAGATAGGTTATATATAGAGATAGAAATAGCTATAGCTATAGATAGATATGGATACAGATCGAGAGAGAGAGACAGATGTAGATATAGTAGGGGTTTAAGTGCATAGCCTTGGGAGCCAGACTGCCTGGGTTCAAACTCCAGCACTACCATTTATTAGATCTATTACCTCAGACAAGTTACTTAGCTCTTCCTGTATCAATTTTCTCATATGTAAGTTAAGGATAACGTTACGTCAGTAAAGCCTTATGAAGTGATTTTGAAGATTAAATTAGTTAATGTCTGTAAAACACTTGTAACAGTGCCTGGCATTATAGTGGATATCTTGTAAATGTTTTATTGTTATTAGATGCAATCCCTATTTATTAATTACAATGTGATAATTACTGTATTATTGAT